GTGTTGAGTGTGGGAGGGGGGGGGGGGGGGGGAATTAACACTGTTGGGTTTTACTGATTTCCAGAGATCCATTAGAGAGATTACTGCTACTTACTTCCCCAGTCCCAACAGTTTCACCAGTAAGGAAGTAAAGGAAAATATCCAACAGCATCACACTTTTGCTAGAGTAGGGGAAGGTTAGAACCCCATTCAGCTTTTATTAGTGTCTTTGCCTCTGTAACATATTTCTCCTCTATTGTCTAGTAAAACCAGGGCAGTAGGTGAGGGAAAATGGAGCCCCAGACAGCAGTAAAATCTGACAACGGTTTTAAGCATTTCACATTCTATCAAAAAAGGTTTTACTGAACATACACATTCAAATTAACTTCGGGATGCAAAATATAGAAAATGTAAACAACATAAAAATAGTAATATAATATATTCCTATATAATACAGTAATATATTACAGTCATAAAAATAGTAATATAATAATTATAACGAAAAATAAAACATACCTTGCATTCAGAATTTTCCATTTATCTCTAAAGAATTTCCATGCCAAATCTCTCCCATGTGGATTTCTTGCTACATGAATTATAACATCAATAGCATCTTGATCCAGTACCACTTCTGAATTCAGTGACAAGTTGAGAAGCCTTAAAAAGCAATTATATTAAAAAGAATATATATTGTACTGTCAATATAAATGCTTATGCAATAGTTTTGTTATATCTCCTTCTATACCACAATAGACAAAAAAGTTTGTTTCCCTCTATTCAGGGAATGTAAATGATAAAACCACCCTGGCGAATTGTGGGTCCTGCCATGGCCGATGTGAACCAATGGAAAGAAAAGAAATTGAAAATACCATAGAGCAGAGGGAAGGGTCCACCTTTTTTTATTACAACTTCAGAAGCAAAAAACACAATTTCTTTCAATTACATGCTTGGAAGAGGTCTTAAAACTGTATGGTGGTTTAAGAAGAGTAGGATTCTCAGAGATGGTAAGCAGCAACATATTCTGGTATCACATCTTTTATATGTGTAATTGATTTTGTTACTGTTACATTATTGCCTGGCATAAATACAGTGACAGCACCCCAATATAATTCATACAACTTAAAAAAAAAAACCTTTTAGCTGCCACACCTGATGTTTTTTTATCCAGTGTTAATACTCTAAAAACCACACAACAGTTTAATAGTATAGTTTGTGAGTTTCTTTTTTGCAGCACCACACTGAATTGTATTAACCCTTTAGCTGCCAAACCCTCCGGAACATTTTGCAACTCAGCTGGCCACACCATTTTTGCAATTTTTCCCATTGATTTGATCTTCTACTGCTGCGTTGCTAGTGTTTGTAAAAGACCCCCCAAACTATACATTTTCTGAAAGCGCAGGCCCGGCAGAATAAAAAGAACAAAATTTGTAGGCCCTGCGATAATTGCGCATATGTTTCTCAAATTAATAATAAACCGATAAAAATACACAATTTAATTGATAAAGCCCTAAAATCAGTATCCGTACACAAAATAATTATTTTCTGACTAAATCGAAAAGAGAAAACTGTATTGAGTTAATAAATAACAAATATTTTTAAATTTAAAATTGCGCCTTTTTGCGAAAAGGTAACAAAATGAAGGAACGCAAAACTGTAAATAAACGTTTATGTTAAAAAAAATTTGTGCTGTGTTGGTGTTGTGATAAAATGATACAGGCATATATTTAATTGCATCACAGCGCACAGCAATGCGTCACAAAGCTTTGCCATGCACTGCCACAGTTAAAATAATGTTTTTGTTTTTTTTAAAAGACAAAGCGACCATGAGCTTATAGCAGAACTGTAAATGCCAGTGCCATAAGGCATACTGACCTGGCCAGCTGGGAACAGTTTTGTTCTGCCGTATGCCTTACGGCGCTGGCAGGGCAAGGGTTAAAGTGTAATAAAATGTCAAAACAAAGTGCATAAAAACACTTCAAAACCACAAACCCCCATTCCCTAAAACCCCCATTCCATCCCTGTGTCCTCAATTACTTCCAAAATATTCAGCCATAGTAAAAGCACCAGCCATTTGGGTACCACATGCATGAGAAAACACATGACTCTGTACCACCACCACCTATGTGTGAGCAGCATTTCAATGAGACAAGATGGTAGAAATTTTGAAAAAGGAATAAAATCCTGCTCAATGGTGCACTTTATTTTAGAGTGCTGCTAATGTGTCATTTTCTTCCTCCTGCTTGCTTATTAGCTTTAAAAATGCCAGAATTTAGTATCAAGATTCACCCCAGTAGGATTTTACAGGATTTCAAGTGTGTGGGTATCAAATAGAATTAAATTAACCCCCTGCAAATTGAACCTGTGTAGATTTGCCCATCTCTATAAGTCAGCTCACTCCTAGACTTGCATTGTAAAAGCACCAAGCATAAAAATATATATATATTATATACAGTATGCTGTTATTTTGCTCACCTGTTTAGCAGGTTCCTATTATCACTGCAGGTCAATGCTTCCAGCAATATTTTCTTTTCTGAAACAGCTGTTGTAGAATGAAATTTCATCCAGATAAATTCCCATACATCTTCATCCATTAAGGAAACTCCTGTGCAATAGACAATGTCCCGGACATTGGGTGGAATTCTAAAGAATCAATTACATACAGAACATTATCTCTCTCTGAAACATATGCTATTAGGTACACACAATAGCTTTCACAGAAAATGTAAGAAAAAGAAAGAAAAGTTAGTATCTTTGCCTGAATAGAGAAAATTTGCACATCCAACATAGTCCTTTCAGAGATTTAGGGATTTGAAGTATGTGATAGATTTGATAACATGTAAATACCTTTGTTTAAATACTTTATATCCAAGAATAGACATAATCTGGTGAATGACACAAATCTGGAAATGGTAACATAGGCATAGCAAAATTTAAGAATTGCAAGGTGAACATAAAGCAGTGCCAGCAATTTGTTTTTGGTTTCCATTTCCTCTGTAAATAATTATATGTTATTGTAATGCACATTTCTATAAAAAAGAAAATGCCTATGTTAAAAAATCAATTTACATCTCACCAGTTGTTTTTTTTAACTTTACTGTATTGCGTTCTATAAGAGCAAAGTATCCAACAGACTCTTAAATGTTCACCAAGAAACAATAGGGTTTATAAAAATGTTAAAACGGAATTAAAGTCACTATATTTGAGGGAAAAAAAACTTTTGGATAATGTATTAAAAATACAAAAATCAGCTTAGACTCACTCTGCATTAATCCTAACTTGTTCTGCAGCTGTTTCTCCTCCGGACAGCTACTATGGAACCTTTTTTATTCCATAGTACGTCTTCATTTTACCCTTCTGCCCTGACTCTACATCAACACAAACTCCCATGCATGCACAAATTACAGACAGCAAGCTTTCTTTTGTTGTATGGTTGCAATGGTTGTGGAATTACAGCTCGGGTCCCGTAGCCTAATGTAAACAAATGGGTGAGGCTAGTCCTTTTTTTGGTGTATGACATCAGCTGGAAATCTGAGAAACTGGTTCCCCTTCAGGACCACTCAGCTAATGATTGCCAGTAGGAGGTCGGTGGGTTCAAAAGTTGATGCCCATCCTGCTATTGGCTATTAATTCTGCCCCCTCCCACTGTCAATCATTAGCTGAGTGGCCCTGATGGGGAACTACTACTTTGATATACCCATCAGGCCCCACCTACTGTCCGCATCACTAGTTGTTATGGGTGCCGTCAGATATCCTAACAGCTTCTGTAACAACCAGTGAAGCTGACAGAGGGCCCCCTGATGTCAGTAGACACATAGGGTTTAAGGAAGTGGAGGACACTGAGGAGACTCACAAGAGTGCCTATGACAGGTATGTGTGGTGGCATCATCCCAGCAGAGATGCTCTGCAGAGCTCAACACACCCGAATGCCGAGAATTTAAGGTGTAATGCATAGGTACAGCTGATGAAAAAACAAACAGTGATTTTGGATGATTGTAAAGTTTTGGGAGGAGAGGGAAGACATGGCAGAGGTATTTCATACAAGCTTTTAAGCAATAACATTTTAAATTGTTCACTTTACTTCCACAAGTAACTTTACATTCCCTCATTACCTCCTGCTGCAGAGGAGCCTGCTGCTGGTAACAATATTGGGGGACAAGGAATCACCATGCTTGCAGTGCAACTGCACAGCCATGTAAGTACCAGCATGTATCCCTGTGTGGAAAACTGATTTTTTTCCATGAGTAACACATTATTTTTTTATTTAAAAAAGTGCTGAAAGTGGAAAAATGCTGATGAATTGATCGCTACTAGATTGAATCAAATGAAACTTTATTTTAAAACCTTTCTCCAAGCAAAACATGGCCAAATTAGGTTAAATCTTGAACTTTTTAAAATGATGCATTTATATCTAATCAGTAATAATTTACCAAAGCTAAAATCTAAAGTTACTTGTGGAAGTAAAGTGTGCAATTTAACACTCCACTTACATAAGAATGATTATAAATATGAAGTATATGAAGATTACTGATGTCTTGCATTTAATCAAATACATGTCTCAGGTTTGTATCTATTTATTGCCATAACAATGTAACTTCTTACATTTAATGTCAATAGCCCATTCTATCATCTCATTACTATGTATGATTAATATGACTTAATTAAAAAACATTTACATGACTAAAGCCTGAAAAACTATGACTCATAATTTCTACAATCATAATAAATCTAATTATTGCAATAAGTAAAAATCAATAAAATACAAATATTTAAGAATGATAAAGTCAGAACATTCACATAGTTTCCCATCTATCAACTACTGATTCTTTCTCCACAAAGTAATTTGCATAATTTATTCCACGGAAACTATGACATTGAAAAAACAGACAAACAATAGGATGAAAATGCAGCAATCTGTTTATTCAAAGCTCTTCAAATGATCATCCCTGGCCTGCTATCATCAGCACTGATGATATGTTTTCATTAAGCATTATCTTCACTATTAGCTTCCTGGCATTTTGTCTTAGCTGTGCATTTTAAAGCAATTATCTTTATTTATTTTAAAATATTTGTTGATGGAATTACTATGTATAATTATAGGAAGTAGTTGACAATTATTGTATCTCTAACAACATGCAATCAAGCTATGGGATTCTGCATGACAGTTCATTAGAGATAAGGACAGTTTAAGCTTTAAAAAATACACTTACACTGTATTTCTGTCTGGGTTGTAATGTCTCACCTTTCTGTCTGGCTGTAATGTCTGTTTGCAAACATTATGATTTTGTAGGTATTACCCAGGTGAAATGGATATGTAAATATATTCCAATGACTACAATAATATTCACATAAACACCCCTAGATCTGAGGATTATTTGACAAAAGAAGTAGTTCCATCAGCAATATACATTTATTGGTAGGGTTACATATTTACAAATAACACACAAAACAATATTTACAAGACAATGTACAAGTGTGGTGGAGTTTTACCTCTCAGATTCTCGCCTGTTCATACTGAATGCCTTTGTGTTCCAGGTAAAAGAGAGAGCACGTGGCTTGCTAACAATGGGGTTGATTTACTAACCTTATAAACACACCACGAACATGTATACACCTCTGTAGTGTGTTCCCTCCTAGCATGATCTATGGGTGGAATCTAAACACCTTTGTGGTGTGTACACACCCAGCAGGTGTGTTGTGCAAAGCCAAGCATGAATTGCAAGGTGATGTTGTGTAATTCAGCTCTATGTTGTGTTGCTTGCGTTGATGAATGCAGGAATGTAAATGCATGAGCTAACCATTTTTGTCTAAACTGTGAAGCAGCATTATATATGCATCATGTGCATGATTTTTCCATATATGGCATTAGTGGAAATATGCTTTTAGAGACTTTTTGGTTGATAAATACGTTTTGCTGTGTGAAAATCACACGCACCTGGTGTGTGCGTGTGTTTAGGTTAGTAAATCACCCCCAATACCTTATATATCCTCCTTTCTGTACACTGCCTACCAAATGTACATTGGGCGTAACCTGATTGGAGGATTTAAATAAGGTTGCTGTTTACCCCCATGTGAGATGTGATAAGCAAACAAAACAATAGCTAGGACTTTAAAGCAGACAGATTCACAGTAACACAATTGCGGAACTGAGAGTCACATAACATGCAGACAGATGCAGTCAAACACACATACTACATTATCTAATCAATATACCACACAAAATTAAAATACACAACCAAGAAGACTAAACCACCCTTAATTTGCAACTATATTAGTCTGCATACAGGAGTGGAGACAAGGACATTATAATCACAATAGTATCTACCCTGAATAGTCTGGGTTCCCACCCGAATGACAATGGCTGAGGAGACACTCAGAACAAAGGAGATGGGATACAGTGATTACATTAAACATTCAACTGATACTGGTAGAAGAGGACACTTAAACAGACAATAGAAAGAGCAAACAATAGCCCTGGTCTACAATGCAAATTACAACCAAGCAAAAAGCCACTGATAGAGCCTCATCTATAAGGACACAAATAACTTATGCCTTATTTTGCTAAATGCCCCAGATATCAAAATTACAGGCCAATACCTGTGCTACTACCACCAACAAAAGTCTGGTGACAATCCTCAAATGAATATCTTTCTGGTCTAAATGACCTTATACACACAGTTGTATAACGCCAAACAATGATACATTAACAAGAAACAAACAAAACAAATTATCTTGTATATCTATAGAGATTATAACTGCTTTTATAAGCTTCCTTGACAAATAACCCCAAAATCACCAGCTCTAGGTCTTTAAAAACCAAAACCAAAAACCAATACTCAAAGGTCCAGTAAGAACAAACCTGTAAGGCTTTTCACAAACCAAAAAAAAAATCACAATCAAAAATAATATTGTGCCTTAAAACTATTTTTCTTCTTTTGCTAATTTGTTTAATGTTTTTAATGTTGTTTCCTCTGTTTTCATAGATGATACTGGTCGCTCCCTTGTTGCTCTCTATTGCCAATATCTCACGGTGATGATGTTTCGTGGTGCCAATCACTCGATGCAACTTTTCTCTATTTTGGCTCCTGCTGTTTGGAATGACGTTACGCATGGATTAGTGAGAATTGTTTCTGGATCCTAGATTTATTTATATATTAGTTCTTGTCTATATCTCCCCGATGTCCTTGTCTTATGAAAATTGTTTCATGGGATGTTAAAGGACTCCAGTCCCTGCAGAAACGCAACATGGTACTTCAGCATCTAAAGTGCCCTGGCACTGATGTTGTGTTGCTGCAAGAAACTAATTTGAAGGAAGCTGACTTCCACCGCTTACTCAATTTATGGGTAGGAGAGGTGTTAGGATCCCCTTCTCAGGGTCACATCGCAGGAGTTGTTATCCTTATTAATCACCACCTTGATTGGCGGTTGTTGAAAGTGGAGAGTGATGATGAAGGTCGGACGCTGACGGTATACCTACATACATTAATACCGATACACCAATTTAGCTGTTACTAATATCTATATGCATAACTCCCCTACGAAACGTAATTTCACTGCCTGTGCTAGTTGGTTTTCTAAGCCTTCAATTCTACTCCACGTTGTTGGAGTGGGCTTTAATTCGGCCATGAATGC